ACTTCTACTATACTTTTGCAATATCGTTCAAACAGAATTACATAAACCCTTGTGCCAGAAGTAAAATCCTTTTTTCATCCGCTTAATACGTCATTATGATATTTAGTATTGGATTTGATATTGTTACTACTTTTACTACTTCCCGTTCAAATAGCGTTTTGAATAAAAAGTTCCTATGATTATGATGTCGCGAATACACGCATACTGAATTTGATAAATTTAAACCAATCATATAATGAATCACACTAAGATTGGCACATCTCATTTCTTGACTATAATTGGCTTGCTATTATTACTGCTTCTTTGCGCCAATCACTGCTTCTTGAATACCTGTTTTCTAAGCCATTACCTATTCTTTGTAACTTTGCCAGTACCTTTCGACTTATCCACATTTTTGATCACGCCAACGGAACTGTCTGCATCATATCACGTATGGCAAATCGTCCTAGTGGTGAACACTCCGCAAACGTCTCAATGCGTAATGGTTTGCTTGATGCCAGGCCGACAGTGCCTGCATCAGTGACTGAAAAGATGTGGCAAAAGTTTTGGGCCTCTGTAAGTTAATTGTGCACTTCTGCATAATTTCACCCTAAATCTTGACATCACCCAAGCTATATGTAACCGATGCAACCATAAAATCTGATAATCTTCCAAATAGATTCTTGAAAACATCTCGATTAATCACTGGGGCTCGTTGTAACTGTCTTCTACTAATAATTAAGGAAACAATGAGAAAAAAGTGAAGTTAAGCAACCTTCGGTTATTCTCTACTTTCTTGCCGGATCTTCGATCAACTCTTCCTGAGTCCTGCAAACTTGCAAGTGATATGTGCGATATGACAATCAAGCATGGGAGTATATTCAGCAGAAATTTAACCTGGATGGTCCATAATAACGATCTAAAATAACCATATTAGTCTTAGTTGAAATAAGTGGTATTTAGTTAGGCAAGAAAAATCTAGTTTTAGTTTTAGCGATATCTGAATGCTACAGATCAACAAGTATTCTATCACAAGCAAAACTTTGATCAGATTTCAAAATGCGTGTCTCATTTCAGCGGTACAATCCAGAAAAAAAGGTTATCTATATTGCTTAGCAACCTGCATTAATCGTCATCCTGAACGATATCCTGAAACGGCTTACCTGAGCAATGAACATTTTAGTTCCCTTAGCCGGGTCATTCTTTGAATCAGATGTCACTGATCCTCGTCGGTCATCTTTAATAGAGATGTATATGACATATCTTTACAAGCAAAAGAGACCATCCTTTGAACCACCGGCATATTTGTGAACGATTCAAGCAATGCTATCATCATTGAAAGATGTTATCACCTGTAAATAATGATTGGCTGATCTTTGAGAATACAATAACCATTCGGAATTATATTCTAATGCAATCATTTTAATATTATATAAATTTGTAAATTCCGCATAGTAATACTTCCGAAAAAGTTATCGGTTCCGGTGATAACTATATATCGTAACATAGTAATCCAAATGATACTCGATCGATGAGGAATTTGATTAGAGTTCATTAAAAAAATTCGAGAGATCTCTTAAAAAAGTCATAAAAATCTCCAAATAGCTTTTTGAAGTGAACAGATCAATTGTTTTGAGAGCAAAGGTTTTAATCAATTGTTTTGAGAGCAAAGGTTTTAAAAACTGGAAATTTTTTAATAACAAATTAGAACTATCAAAACTTTTCCAGTCTCTCATAGCTATGCAAACAGCAATAATGTGTCTAATTTAACCGGAACATTCCGGAATTTGTCTGTCATACAAAGAATGATATATTTATCCTCCTCTTTTGTCGCTTATACAACAGCAATAATAATTAGCAATTTTATTGGCAACAAATTAAATGGAATATATTTGATATATTTGATGCTAAGCGAGAAAATGTTCTGTTTTACCTTTAGAAAGCATGATTCTAAACGGTACAGTCGAAGATAAAAAGAACAAAAGTTGGAATTATCGATAGCTTTGAAATAAGCTAGAAGTAACCGTATCACTTATTAGTTGATATCTTTTGCAGCTACAACAAATGAATTCAATTCCAACTGAAAAATCAGTCATAACTTTAAATTCAATTCAAAAAATCAGTCACGAAATTCAAGTCATCCATTAAATTTGGAAATTGCAACCACTTCTGCTTCAATCATAAATTTTCAAATTAAATCGACTAATAATTCCATTTTTCGATATTTGAAATATCCTTAATTGTCTTATAACGGTTACAGCAAATTACGCCTTGATTTCTTGATATTTCTCCTAAAATTAGTAATATAATTGTCAAATTTTTTTCTCTGAGATACAGAGAATTTTTCTCTAAATTAGGAAAAGCACAAAATTAAAAATGGAAACAAATTTCCAAACTATAATTTTTGTACAATGATTCTCTTGCTCTTCAACAGTTAGAAATATTATTTACGTTAGCAGTGCAGGAAAAAGAAATCCGCATTACACTATGCAAAATGTGATTTATTAAGTTAAAAGTTGAACATCTAATCTACATATTTGCTACCCAACATTAAAATATGAATATACGAGATTATAACAACGGAACTTATTTTTTGGACATTAGATGAAGCGTCATGAAATAGCCGAAAAAATGAATCATACAGCAATAAATCAAAAGATCACTCGGAGGTGAAATATGTGAACAACACTGATACCTTTGAGAGATATTTTGTAAGTCCTTTTTGAAACTTTTAGCTATATTTAACTCTATTGGGTGATATTAAATAATCCTGATAGATGGTATCACAATAATGAAGGCACATTGTAAGGCATTATTACATACATTTGGAATGTAGGTTAAAATACTTCCAACACATGTAACAAGGTTGGAAAATTTTAAAATTTTTGAAGTTAATGGATTTCTTAATTTTCACTTGTTTCAAGTCATTCCAACTCATGGATTTGTATTAAATCGTACTTTTCAACACAGAGAAAGTAGAAAGGTTTCTCTGTATGCAAATAAAGCGAAAATAGTATTTCCTTTGTCAAATGCTTGGTTATTGTTATGAAATAAAAAGGTTCCTAAGGTCCCAGTTTTTGAATTTAGCAGTAAACAAGATAAATTCTGGGTTTGATGAATAATCGCAAATTAATATCTAGACATCATCACTTTCTGTCTCAGATTCTGAAATATAATCATCCTGGAAATCACATGTATCTATCGCCTCACGCATTGCCAACTGAATTAAGGCTCGTGTTTCCGGATCACTTGCAAGATCTACTGGACGCTTTCGTTCATTATTATGTATTGTAGTACTTGCACCGTGTTCCAATAATATTCTCACACATTCCAAATGACCCTTCCATGCGGCCGCATGCAAAGCTGTATCGCCAATTTTATTCTGCAAACCAAAAAAAAAAACAGATCCACATATCTTTCTCCACTTTTACTGATAAAACTTAATGAAAATGCTTCTGAATTCTCACACTTGAAAAAATTTTACCTGCGCGGAAATGCACATACTGGGTATAGAGCATAATAACTTGACAATTTCAACATGACCACCATGACTCGACCAGTACAATGGAGTTGAACCAGATTTATCCAAACTATTCACTGATACCTGAATAAACTGCTAAATAATTTGACCATAAAAATTCCAGTAGTTCCTATTTACCTTCTGTACGAATCATTTCATTAATTGATCTGAAACTCTTCAAGCTTGGATTTAAAAAATCCTTCAACAATTGTTTGAATTTGTGAATTTCATGCTTTCTAAATCTCACAATATTCAGTTTAAAAAAGATAGAGCACTGAAGAGTGAAAAAATATATGTCCGGAAGTTTCGTGTATATCAAATACAATCAACGTGTCGAAAAAAGAAACTGGGAAAGGAATAGCGTGATAATCGAAAATGTGATTCGAAACACGTGTCCTATATTTTACTATATCCGGTTCTCATTATGCATGACCCGGTTGTAATATAGTGGAGCAGAGAAACAGGAGCGCATCATATTTCCTTCTCATGCTTCCAAATAATACCATTCTGGAGAATGGAACAAATATCTTTAAGTAATCTATATGTGAGGAAAATTTTTGTGCATAACTAATAAAAATTTGCTAAAACGAGGAGGGAAAAAAAGTGCGAAGCAGTCCCAGATTTGAAAGATTTCCTGTAAGATATAAAAATAACAAGAACTAAGTATAACATGTGAAAGAGTTTAATGTTACTAATTAACATTAATTTACTACTGCTTATATTTAACCTGTCCGAATCACTTATCACAGTATCATGTCGATGTGCAACATCGGAGGTATGACCGTGCCACCTACCAAAATAATTCGTAACTTTCTCAACATTAAAAAAAATTGCAAAAACAAAGTGCTTAAAAAACAAAAACGCAAAACTTACCGCATTATCGAGACATTCTTTAACACCTTGTATATTTCCTCGTTTTGCTCCATCATGCAGTGGATGTTCGATATACTGTGCTGTCATCACTACAAATGTCACATTTCCCATTTGCTGTCTAATAAAAAATTCAACATCACTGTTTCATCAAAATTAACGATTGTCCGAGATTACCCTAACATAATTTGGTTCTGCAAGATACTAATTATGATCAACATAATACATCAATTTCCAGCAAAAAGTTCATAATAAAAACGGTCAAAATTAATCAACCTAAACACTGTGACTTCCAATATTTTTTATCAAAGCATTAACAAAATTTACCATAATTTGCTGGAATTAAACCTCTCTGATTTTTGCAACGTGCTGGCCACCATTTTGCATCATTACTGCTATCAGAAACATACAACAAATCACCTTCATTGAAAGACAATTCTTTGTCCTGAAAAAAGTTTAAACGAGTTAGTTAAAGTGAAAATGAAAATTAAATTTTGCAAAGGAACCAAAATGATCAGGAAAATTAGAGAAAAATTAATTATAATCTTCTTTCTGATTTATTTATGTTAACATGAACAACATAACTAACATTTTGCGCTGTGTAATCATACAAGGCTCGATAAACAGTCACTCTTCCCGGTTTAGGTGCAGGCTTGGGCGGTCTTGATTCAGTCATTGATTCTTGGAATATGTCAATTCGTGCATCAGATTATCTAAAGATATTTATAAAAAGAAGTTCCAATTTGTCTGCCTGTCTAAACCAGAAAATCCAAGCTATGCATTAGTGCACTTTTTTCAAGACTGAACATTGCACAGTAAATTGCAAATTCTGAACACCAATAAATGTCCGAAGACTGCATGCAAAATATCACATACTAAATAGTGTCGCATATCATTATATCGTTTCATATCTATTACATATCATTACTTTTGCTATTTTATTTTTAATTACAAACTTTTGGAACTTCGTTTTAAAATTTTGTAGAAGTATATTACTCATTTCATTATCAACAATCAGAGATTCAAATATTAAGTTCCTTATTCTTATTCTCACCTCCATTACGGATCTTTTTGTTGACAAGTGTCATCATTAAAAATAATTGTCAATAAACCTGATAATCTAAACTTATTACATATCTATTCATCGTTATCCATGTTTTTACTTTTCACTCAGTATATAGCTCTTGATCAATGAATAACAAATCTTATGAGAACCTCGAATCATAACCTCCAAATCATGAGTTCCTACTCATCTCATGAATGGTCTTCGTACATCATGATTTTCCATTCAGCAATGAAACAGTGATGAGGACTTGATTATTTCTTTTTTAATCTGAATGATGACTTCTTCAGCTTGATTATCTCTTCTCTACATTAGTATCTACGTTGATAAAGTTATGAAAGAAGTGACACAAGAATCCGCCAACGACTTTACGCCAAACGTATAAAAATATGATAAATTATAAACCATTTATGCAAGTTACATAATAATATTATACAATAAGCAGCCTAAAAATTTGAGGAAAAACTTGTACCATTCATACTTATAATAATTTACAATTATTTATTTTTGTTCACTTCTTTCTCCGACGATTTCGGCAGTTCAGTCTGGATTTTAGCCAATTCCTCATCCCATTCTTTCTCAATTTTGGACCAATGAGCAAGTAGCTCTTTCTTTCTTTGCTCACGTCGATTGAAATAATAAGGAAATTGTTCACGTTCCACATTTGTCCACGTTGTACTATCAAGCATCTGTAAAGTAAACAAGAAAATGCATTACATGAATATTGTATTATCTGATCTATTACAAGGAAATAAACTAACAGCAAATCGTAGTATTTATTAAAGCGATGTATGCAAATCCTACTCCTTTGAAAAAGAAAGTTGTTTGAGACTTTCTAGCCGGACATTATCGCATTTTAGCAAGGACTTGACTTGAAGTTGCTTGAAACTTCAAATAAATATTTTCAAAAACTTGAAGTAAGCCGATGGATTAGACTCCAAATACTCTGACATTAGTATGGTTTTTCACAAAACATCGCCGTCTAGTGAGCGATATTGATATAATGTGTGTAGATGAAAAAGGACCATCTTAGTAATTAAAAATTCATAAAGTATAAGACCAATTTGAATTTGAAGATCCAAAACTTACGGCATCCGGCATATTATGCTTATCACGATCGTATGATGCACCACCGACGTCTGAGCCAACTGTAAGAAGAAAGAAAAAATTTTAACCATTTGAATGTTACTCTTTGTATGTACTCATGAACATTGATTCCAAAATCACTATAATGCCATAAATTTCTCAACAGCTTTATACAGCGTACTAAGTTATTGCACTAGCCTTTGTAATTTTAAATCACCAATAGCTTAGTCAAAAATTGACTAATATATTGTTATTATTAGTAGCAGCAATAATTTGGTAATTCTATTAATGAAAAAAATAATTTATTTATGTTTATATTTATTTATTTTTATTAATATGCTGTTATTTCTACCGATAGTGATGATTTTATAATTCGCACTTGCAATTTAAAACTGTCGATAGCGTATGGTTAAATTGATATGACAATCAAAAATGTTGTAAAGGCTGGTTCACGCTGACATTTGTCGAAAAAAAGTGAAAATATCTCAAAAAATAAAAATTCTATCACTGACTTTTCTGGGTCAATTTAACATGCTTCAGAAAAAAAATGCATCATAGTATGAAAAAAATACAGCGAAAAGTAGTCCAATGTTTCCGTTCCCATATTTGACGACAACCATCCAAATATAACAGTCGAGCTTTGTCCGGATCATTTTCGTTTTTATACGCATCGAAACGAGCCCGCATCACTACCTTTTGGAAACGAGCTTCCAGACTGAAAATTCATTCCAGATAAATAAAGAAAGCATGTCGTTTTTTTCCTCGGAAAAAAGAGAAACTTTAAGTGCAGTCAATAAGTTCCGAAATGATCCAATCTTCTTATTGATTTTCTTTTCTTGAAAAATCTGGAAATAATTTTTCTTTAGAAACAAAACATTCTTTCACATGATGGCGGATTTTTTAAAAAAAGCAATAATTTCAAACGAAACTTCATGATAGAAAGTATTGTCAACACAAATTAGTCCAATGTTTCTTTCCTCAAATTTAGATTAATGAGTTCAATACTTGGATTTTCCACAGAAAAACTCCATTTTGTGGACACAGTAATGTTTACTGTACCACTTAGCGGTCGAAGAGAATTTGCATGAAATTACTTAAAACGATAACCTTGCCTAATCCTAATATCACCAGCGGATGTAAGTATATACAAACTACTGTAAAGTAACAGAGTGCTATTATGTCAATAAATCAACTAGTAGTAGAACTCTAATAAAAGACTGGAAAACAGACAACGATAACAGGTAAACAATAAAATAAGATTTAAAATTTCAACCTTCCCATATCATTTAATATGGAAAACGAAAAATTTACATATCTGTGCCGTAGTAACCATCTACTTCACGCATTGCACGTTTGAATAATCGACATACTTTCTGACGATGTGATAACGCTTTGCTGAACATCCAAGATGGTGATTCCATGACCGTGAACTGCTCAACACAATTATACAATTCACCCAAACTGATCCCACCAATTCCTACAATAAAATTTATGCAATTTTATGACATATGTAAAAAAAATCATGCCACTCGAAGAAATCAATTCTATACGAAAATTGCAACGTTTAGTTTTATTATGAATATCTTGGTAGATTGTTTTTTTAGCATAAAATATTATACTCTACGGTATCGTATGCCATAAAA